CCCAGGCTCCTTAGATCTTGGACTAGGTCTGATTGATAAAGTGGGCTTGGATTGCCTTTTGGCTAACTTGGGCTTGTTTGATTAATTAGGTCTGGCCTGATTGGATTTGGGCTCATCAACAACAATTTAGAAGGATGATGGAAAAAAGAGTAACTGATATGGAGGAGGTCGAAAGGGAGATTGTGCAGTATTATAAACAGCTCTTGGGATCTCCATAGTTTATAAATAGTAAAGTTACTGAGGAACAAGCAATACTAATGGGGCAACATGTGACTAGGTAGGAAATTAATCAAGTAATGTTTTCTTTAAAAGATGCCAAGCACCTGGGCCCGATGGATATAATGTGTGGTTTCTTCAAAAAAAGCATGGCACATTGTTGGAGAGGAAGTGAACGTGGCCATTCTTTCCTTCTTTGAATTTGGGCAACTACGAAATGAACTTAACTCTAACATAATTGCTCTTATTCCTAAAGTTCCTAACCCAGTGAGGCTTATGGACTATTGACCTATTTCATGTTGCAAAACAGTTTATAAATGTATTGCTAAGATTATAGCAAATAGAATTGAAGGAGTGCAACAAGATTTTGGGGATAGCTCACAAACAGCCTTTATCAAGAAACATTACAAACAACATTTTGTTATCACAGGAACTCTTCAGAAGCTACCACTTGGATAGAGTAAGTCCAAGATGTATAGTGAAAGCAAATTTAATGAAGGCTTATGATAATGTTAGATGGGATTTTATCATTGCTATATTGTACCAAATGGGGTTCTCCAAAAGCCTAATCTGGTAGGTTGAAGTATGCATAACTTCTCCAAAATACTGTCTGCATAAATGGTGAATTGAAAGGATATTTCCAAGGTAAGAAAGGACTTTGGCAAGGTGATCCCATGTCACCCTACCTATTTGTTCTTGTAATGGAAGTTTTTAATGGAATCATGAGGGCTGCCACACGAATGGAGAGATTTAAATACCATTGGAGATGTAGTAAAGAAGGGATCTCTCACTTACGTTTTGTAGATAACATATCGATATTTAGCAAAGGGAAACTGGAATCAGTGAGGGTGATCAAAGAAGTTCTTCAAGTTTTTGTGGAATCTTCAAGGTTAAAACCTAATCCCAGCAAAAGTCAGGTATTTTTCTCTACTATAAATCAGGATACCAAACTGGGCATCTTGCAAGGGCTAGGATTCAACCGGAGGGAGTTATGGGTCAAATATTTTGGGGATCTTTTGATCACTACTAAATTGAGATCTATTGATTGTCAACCGTGGAGAAGATAACTACTAGACTTAACTCATGGAGAATAAAGTTTCTTTCTTATTCTGGCAGAGTTCAAATAATCTGCTCTGTGATTCATTCAATTCAAATCTATTGGCCTTCTATTTTTATTCTTCCCAAGTGGGTTATCAAAGAGGTTAAGCAGATTATGAGGAGGTTTTTATGGTCTGGTAGTAAACTTAAATCAAATGGAGCTAAGGTGGCTTGGACAACAGTATGTTTGCCCAAAAAAGAAGGTGGTCTTGGGGTCAAAAACATGGAATACTTGAACAAGGCAGCCATAATGAAGCATCTATGAGAATAGTCACTTCAAGAGGTAAATCAATATGGGTGATTTAGATTGAAACTTAACTGTTGAAAGGGCTAAGTATTTGGAAGGTTAATGAAAAATCTTGAACCTTAGGGTTGTTAGCTTGCCATTTTTTAAGTATAAAATTGGGAATGGAAGGTTTACATTTCTATGGTATGATCCTTGGCATCCTATGGGTCCAATTTATCAGAATGTGGAGGAATCAATCATAAGGACCCTGGCCTAGGGGAGAAGGCTAAGGTTAGCAGCATTATTGTAGGAAATGATTGGTTTTGGCCTACTACTGTCAACTTTCTAAGTACCTCTATAAATCTTAGACCTAATCCAGATCAGGAAGACAGTGTACTATGGCTACCCTATCCATCTGCAGGGTTTAGTTCCAAGTCAGCCTGGGAGAATATTAGAATGAGAGGGGAAGTGCAGAGCTGGACCAAAATTGTGTGGTATCCTGGAGCAATTCCAAGATTTAGCTTTATCCTCTGGTTAGCAGTACTTGGTAGACTATCTACACAGGATAAACTCGTGGCTTATGGGGTAATCCAAAGAGCTCAATGTGTATTTTGCAGGAGTGAAATAGAGACTCAAAAGCATATCTTTTTTGAACGTTCCTTAACAGTAGAATTTGGATTTCTTTGCAGTACAAAGGGAATTTTCAATGGCTTGTCTTGGTATGGCCAGATCTTGTGCAGTGGTTTGTTACTAAAATGAAAGGACATAGCTTACAGCAGTTGATTGGCAGATTGTTACTTTTAACCTCTGTCTATGTAGTATGGAAGGAAAGAAATTCAAGGACCTTCAAGAATACCTAGAGAGATGTAAACATTCTGATTGTGTGCTCTTTTGTTACCCGCTGATTGTGCTTGTTATGCTCTTATGGATGCTAGTTATGTGCTGCTGTCTTGGTGTTTCTAGTTGCTCTGCTTGATCTTCCATTCCTCTAGCCCCTTTTGTCCATTTCCTTCTTTGTGCATGGTGCATACCTCTATATATTTGTATTTCGGTTAATGTCAACTTACTTATGAAAAACCAAACTGCTTATAAACAAACAAAAAAGGTATGGAATATGATATAATGAAGAAAAAAAATGAAATGGTTGTCCCTAACTAATGAACTTGAAAACATGTGTCGATTAGGTGCAGTGTGCTGTGGTGGTGGTACATTGCTTATACCATCTTAAATTTTAGTTTTACATGATACTTTCGAAAAATTAATCATTAGTACATTGCTTATCATACAAAACTGTTTTCTTTCTTTTTTTGGGTCATCAAAGTGATTTTAGCAAATGTCTTTGTCCATAAAAGAAGTACTCAGCCATGTAATTAGCAACCATTTAGTTATTAAAGACCATTTAGTTTGTTTGAAAACAATACATATATAAAAAAATTTATGAAAATCTAAGGGGAGATGTTAAGTTTTTTAGAACTTAAAGGGGTAAAAAGAAGTTTTAAAATTTGAGAGGGCACCATGACCCTGGTGGTGGGGGTGGGGGAGATATAAACCCCTCGGACAAACTCAATTATAGTTATCCATATTACAATCAAATTAAGACCAAAATCCATTCAACTAAAGTTTCACTACTAAATGAAAGATTTAACAATATCAGGATTATTTATAATTAAGGGGATTTATTTTAAATCAATAACATTTTTTTCCAAATGCAACATCAGTCCTTCGTTTTAAAAAAAATAAAAAATAAAACATTGCCTGGTCTAGTCAAATGGTTAATCCTTCCCTCGTCTCCCATTTGTGAAAATTTCATAATCAAAGCAGATTTCTCTAAAATTAGGTATGAAAAATATCTTGACACAGACTTTCTGTACTTGATGCTTTTCACTATCACGAGCCTGACAAAATGCATTATGGAGTCCTTTTTTCGCTATCATGTCTATGTATTATATTTAAAATAATACAATATAAACATGACATGAATCCAAAATAATATGACCCAAATATGATAAAACATGACTCAAATATATATGATAAAAACACGTCTACATCTGAAACACAAATAAAGTGTTGGACAAGTTACCGGTGGGATGGCTTTAGTGATCTATATTATTGATATCTGGACTAGTATGTCATTTGTACATTGTAACAATAAGTTATTCAGTGGCCATTGAGTATAATGTTAAAAATGGGTAGGTATTGGGAAATTATTTACCTTACACCACTCTCTACAAAGCTTTACATTTGTACAGCAAATGGTAACCTACATGGTATTTCAAATTATATCATGCTTTCTTCTACCCTGTGGCATAGAAAAAAGGGGGGGGGG